TGTGACGGAAAGGATGTGTCTGCAGCTGTCCACTGACCACAAAGATATGTTACATGCATGTCGCTTGGCACGTATGAGCTGGAACCCTAATAGCAGCATTTGTTTACTTACTCTAGTACATATAATTTGTTGATTTTTGTAAACTGCAATGCTCGTTTTCAGGGACCCTAGTAATGTAGTGAGAAACCCTATGGAGCAGTTAGACTTTGGCCTATAGGGTTACTACGGGTTGGAAATGCTTTGATGGCAGTGGATTGGATTTGGTTTTAATGCTCATTTTAAATTCATTTCTCTCCACATTAAAATTCAGGTCATACTTCCTGCATTTTAAATTAAGTACCTCTTAAAACAATGTGAAAGCATTTTTTTTTCAATTCACTTACACTTTTACCCTGCATGCATTTCCCCCAGTGTCTTGGAACAAGACTTACGCTTCTCCAGGAATTGTTATTGGGTTTTCATTAAAATATATTAACAGAACTAAGAAAATGCATACAACAGAACCAAGAAAAAGGATATCCCCCCCCCACAGTAAGATAAATTCTTATTTTACTGACACCTACATTTAAGAAAAAAAATTGTATCAAGTCCCTCAGATGTAATGACTGATATGTGTTTCTCATTTTAGTAAACTGTTTGTCTTCTTTTCAAATGGAAACTATATGTATGAGATGTGGGAATTGAGCCAATAGCAATCAATTTCCAGGAGGCGTGGAAAAGTGTTGAGATCTGCATATTTTCCTGCGAGTCAGCATTCCTCCGCCCTCCTATAACTTGTTTTCTCCTCTCTGCTAGATTACAGCCATTAGGTCTACCTTCTCAAATCAGATAAGTGCTGGCAAAAGCCTTTTCACTGATTAGGCTGCCTATCTTTGCAAGTGCAGAGTAGATAATTTGACATCCAATAGTTCCTAGAACACCTGTTGCCATCCAGTTTTGATTCCAACTCCTATCAACCCTTCGGTAAGAGTAGAATGGGATGGTAGGGTTCCCAAGGCTATGGATCTTTCCAGAAAAAGGCGGTCTCATTGCTCTCCCATGGGACCACTGGGTAGGCTCAAGCCAGCCCTCTTAGTGTTCACATTGGATTTTCTTATTGTTATAGAAGATGTACAATTACTACATGGTAATTGTAGGATCTACCTAGTGGATTTTAATTAATAAGCATAAGGAACGGTAATAAATCCATAGAATAAATTCATAGCTGATGTCTCCTATTATCATGTCAAGAAGTCACGAGATAGATACACGCTGCCTTTTGGAACCAAGGCCACATGTAAGATTGTTACTGATACATAGTTTTATCTAATGGCAATCAGAGAAGTCTCATCTTCTTTGATTGCATTTGTAACACGGGGAAAATGGACCCTACTGGGATTACACTGGAAAATCAGCTGCAAAAGATCTCCTAAAATTTGTCAAGGTCACAGAGGCCACTGACTCTTGCAAGAGGGAAGATTTTCAATCACCTCATCTGCCTGCAGGATCTGGACAAGGAGGAAAGAAGGCCACAGCGTAACCGACGCCGTTGACGGAGGGTGTTGAAGACGACCGAAACGTGGCACAGGCTCTGCGAAGAACAGACCTGGCTCAGGAAGCGCAGTCAGCAGACTCTTTAGGACCGCGCTGGTGAGCCTTTCTCTCTCCTACTTTGGACATGCTATCAGGAGAAGCCAACCGCTGGAAGAGGACATCATTCATGGTACAGGGTCAGTGAAACAGAGGCAGACCCTCAACACGATGGCCTGACACAGGGCCTGCAATATGGGCTCAAGTGGAGCAACCAGTGCGAGGCGGGGGCCTGACCAGGCAGTGTTGTGTTCTGTTGTCCGTGGGGCTGCTGTGAGTCTGAACGGGCACTCAACAACAACCAAAACAGAAGGCAACATCCCTACCTTTTCCTGCTCTGCTCCGCCCTGTCCTGTTCTGGTTTGCTCAAACCCTAGAAACACTTTAACAGGAAGCTTGAGAAGAGACGCTTTCTGCAAGAAAGTCCACTGCAAAAGATCTCTTGAAAGGACTCGACCGGAACATGTGTATAGATGAGAGGGGAGCTCAC